TTCGGCCTTTAATTAACTTAACAACCTTTTTACAACAGTGCACAATTCTCGCCCGCGAACGAAATTTCAACCAAACAGAGGGGCGCGTCTCCGTGACGTAATGTGAGGTATACATACGAAGGTCGCTTTAGAATTCATGTACATTTCCGGGGTTAAATTATCTTGTTTACATTACAGGTTGTCTAAACCTGAAATCGGGATAATTGTTGTGAAAAATGAACGCTTTATGTTTTCAAAAACTACTGTCATTTAATAGTGTCACCTGCTTTGCCTAGCTTCCGAGTTACAAATTGTTTTCATAGACCATTCTGTCAAAATCGCTTGTTGTCCCTATGCCTTATATGCCTACACTATTGCAACAAGCCAGAAAACGATGATCAGCCTCGCACATCACGGTTACAGCAAGAAAATCGACTAGTATCTACATACTGGTGAGTGGACATTAACCACGTGAATGTAGGAAGAAAGGTATCGGGCAATAATGTCACTCCCCACCCCAACCCCAACCCCACACACACACACACACACACCTCGTGGAAGAAATCGTTATGTTACAAGTTGTGTCATGCAAACTACATGATTCAAATACATATATAACTACGAGTAGAAAGTTGTTTTGATTTTCTGTCTTGATGTAAACATAATCTCATTGATTCTCGAACAAACTTTAGCCCGTGACGTCACGATTTTTAAGAATGGCGGCCTGTCGCGAACATCCGCCAGTCTGAGAATAAATGCTATTTTGTTTTCACCGAGTTACAAAATGAAAACTACTTTCTACTGGTAGTAAGATTTGTATTTGATTGATGGCCAATAGGATTTTGCATGACATAGCTTATAACATAACAATTTCTCTCTTGGAAGCGAGGTGGTCAATAAAACCGAAACATGAATCTCATTAGCCTATTCAGACAATGACCTACTTTTCAGCCGATCCGAATTTCCTCGCGTAAAAGTGAAAATAGACATCACAAACAACTATGGTTACACTGAATTCCAGTTCCTTGTTTCATAAGAAAATGGTATTTACAACTGAATTTTAAACTTTAATAACATCGTATTCCTATATTTTATGGCGAGGTGTAGGCAGCATGACCTTAACTAAGACGTCACAGACTGCCCCAGTTTGATGAGGTCGTAAAATGATTCACAATGTATCTGGCTCACTGGTATATGTTTTTTGCGCTTATTCAGTGTAGTTCTGTAACGCACAATGTGATTGATATGATATCAAGTCCGTACCAGACCGCCAAATTTTTCTAGCGGCAGAGCCTCGTTTTGAGATTTCCACGATATCCAGGTTCTGTTTGTCAGTGCTCGCTGTACGACAGAGCACGCTGCACGACATGTTTGCAAGGATTATAAGGAGCGTAGTGTTGCAGTATACAAGTGCTTAGGTGTATCAAATAATACTGATTAATAATTATGTATCCAGTTGAATGAATTGGTCTCAAAATTCTGGACTGGTTATGGTACTGAGTTGCGCAATAGGACGGAACCCAGTCAGCAGGAAACAAGACTGTTTTATAATCTATGTTTTGACTTGTAATACTACTTACAATATTATTGTCACTTCGACCACAACATCACTTCCGAGGAAGAAATCGTTATGTTACAAGTTGTGTCATGGAAAATCTTTTTGGTCATCAATGATATACATATTGTACTACAACTAGTAAGTAGTATTGATTTTTTAACTTCCGTGAAGTGATCTGAACACAAGTAAGATATCGTTCAACGCTCGCTTCGCACTCACAAACATAACCCATTTATCACGAACTGCGGGGTCCGGTAGAAATCTGTGCATGGTGACACCATCACCCGACCCCTGGAGCAACTGACGGCAACGCAATTGACGGCATGTCTTCTTTGACGTCGAGAAATCAGCAAAATGACGAGCTTGTTACACACTTTATATTACGGCTGTAACGATGCATCGAACTATCGATGGATTGCCATTGTTGAGTCTCCGGAAGCAATTAATCGATGGTAGTTTCGAAAAACTATCAATGCATCGACATTTGTGTGACTATCGATAGTTTAGTAAGTGACTTCCGTTGATAAATGCTAAGCACAAAATACAGGTGTTGACTTGAAGCTTCATTGAGTTTATGTGTCAACAGTTCACTTGATCTGTGTTTCAAGTTTCTTGTCAGTTATTAGAAGATACTGAAACTACTTCAGCTTGTTTTTACTTCATTTAAACTATACATTCATTTGGGAAATGACTTCAAATGAGACAATTCAAGGAGCCTGGGAAAAAAACACTATTGCAATAGTATGATGCAATCGATTATCGCTATCCCAATAGCTGTTTCCCCCTCAATAGTCACCCCTACTTTATACACAACTATCTGAAAATCCTTCCTCACTTAACGTCACTTCCGGTTCGGTGCAGTGCTCTGGCGACAGAGTAACTAACTTCTCTGTGGGTTCGTTGTAAATGAACTGCACGTTGCTGTACCCGCAACTAGGTGTTTGCACGTATTATTGTGGCCACCATATGTTCATGTACCAACGGATTCGTGGGTTCTTTTAAGCGCAGGGCTGTGTACTGCACAGGGGCGTGTCACCATCGGCAATGTTACCATCGGCAATCATACTCATTTGTCGGCCATAGATGGCCTTGACATTCAAGTGATCTGAGCAGATCTGCAGAAACGAAATTGGGCCATCTGATCGGTGGAAAATATAATATACTGTAAGATTTTGACTGTTTGCTAATGGGCGCGAAATATGAACTTTGCAATAATCCTATATTTTGGATGATGTACGGACCAGTAAATTGTTAAGAATAGTTTTAAAGGTTGTAAAAATGCATTCGATATTGATTCATTTTTAGGAAATTATATTTATAAATATTTAACCTCTAAAATTATTCTTACAAATTTACTGCTCAGGTCACTAAATGTCAAGGCCATCTATGGCCGACAAGTGAGTATGATTGCCGATGGTTTTGGAGAAAATGTCTGCTTACTGTCGGGGAAATGATTAGCAGATGTTGCAATAAGTTTTTAGATCCGTGGAATGCCGCTGCCGATCGAATCTAGCGCTACATAGGTACTGTCAACGTGGCTGGAATTAATAAACGAATTTAAAAGGTGAGTTTTCGCTGTCTTGGGTGATCCATGATTTGGGCTTGGAATTGCGGAGGTAGCTGTTTTCGGTGAGTCGTGGCGTATAGCTTTTGAAATAATGATCCGATTGTGACCATTTATAGCTCATTTTGTAGGGAAATCATCTCGCTTTTGATCCGTAGGCCTCGACGGGGCCTTAAAAATAGTTTACGTGGTGAAATCTAACTTAGATTGAGGAGGGGGTGGATCCGTCGTTACATCCCTTTCCTTTTATATAGTACTAGGGTAGGGTCTATATACCTATATGTCTTTCTAACGCTGTTTCTAAGCGTGACACGCCCCTGTGGTGTACTGTACACAAGGGGTTGTGGCAACACTGAAAGAGTCTGCACACAAAGTTGACTGCAAGGTTTTTACACCCGGTCACAGGTGGGCTCGATCACTAGCCTGGAGCTTTAGACAGTTCGCCCACCACGCCCCAAAATGTAATATCTTTGATTGTTTTAAAACTGTTACAAGGACAATATATGCTGTGCTACTACTCTCCGACAAAACACCAAAAGCATATAAACGCAGTCACGTGTGTTTTCAGTAAGAAATTACTTAAACTCAGTTTAAAAGAAGTTCCCATGCAATCGAAGTGATTTCATGATGTAAATATAGTGAGTGAGTTAAGTTTTACGCCACACTCAGCAAAGTAGTATTGTAGATGTTGATTGGGTCATCCAAGTCACGTGGTCACAGTAAGGTACGCCATAGACAGGACGTCACAGGTCAGGAAAAGTGAATGAATCCGTGTTTGTTCTCGTGCATTCTTAGAGGAAACCTTTCATTAGGCGAGAAAACAAAAGTAAAGTGTCATGAACAGACCTATCTACAGCGTGCTGTAATGAATATTCAATTCAATTCTTTATTCTTATAAACCACCTTGGTGGTACAAGACTAAATATTGTAAACATATATACAAATACAAATTCAGATTCAAGATGGCAGTAAACAACATATCAACATTTTATTCTGACAAGAGATGATAGATGTAGGATATATTTTGATAGATGTACTATGTCTCAAGATATTTTGACAGATAATATTTTCGTGAACTTTGTTTTATTGGGAAAAGAGGTTAGATGGGAGGGTAAATATTGTTTCCCCAAACTATCTATAATGCCTTGCAATGAAAAAGTATTGATCTTAAGAATATGTTCAACGTTTGAGACCAGCCACTGGGTTGTACAGACTGAGGGGTTTTCAAAAACATACGAGAGTCCAGTATTGTCTAATATATCTTTAACGTGCGAGAGCCAGGTATTATCATTTTTATTTATTGTTCTTTGAAGTGATAAATATTTGTAAATTAAGTTCATGAGCTTAAAAACACATTCTTGGTAAGTTAACTTGTGCCAAAAGTTTAATAAACGTTTATATATCATAATTCTAATAGGGAATCTCGCTAGTTCCCCATACAGCATAAAACGAGGGGTTGAATTTCTTAATCCTGTAATGAGTCTTAATTTTAAATGAATTTTCTCCAAAATTTCAAGGTTTTCGAAAGACCAGACTTCTGCACCATAGGTCAAGATAGGTATTACCATTAGTCAAATGCTAACAATAAACAGTCTAAAGGCAAGTCTAATTTTCTAGCTTTTTTCACTGAACTATACACTATTGCTTACAGTTTGAATACTTGATACGAGTTTTCTATTTCTATGGAACGTTATAACGGGGTATGTATAACTATCAACTATTTCAAGTAATTTACCATCCACATGAAATTTAATTTTTGTGCTTTTTTATGGTCCTCCCCCGAAAATTACTTTTTTAGTTTTGTTTATATTCACTTTCAGCTTCCATGAATCACAATAGGCCTTAAATGAGTTCAAAGCATCTTGTAGTCCCTTTGGCGATTCATCAAACAATATTGTATCATCTGCAAATAATAAAAGTAACAACTTTACTAATATCACCAAATCTTCGTCTTCAATATAGTTTAGATTTACACCATTACAGTCTGAAGTAAGTAAATGAGATTCAATATCATTTATGAAAATGGAGAATAATAAAGGTGACAGATTTTCTCCTTGTCTGACGCCGTTGTTACATGTGAAGTAGTTTGATACATAGAGAATCTCACCCAAGTGTCTTCTGATATCAATTATATCAACACGAGTTGATAAAGTTACAAAAATCCGAGGCTTGCCGAGGATATTTTTACTTTATCAACGAGTGTTGATATATTTGATATCAGAAGACACGAGGGTGAGATTCTATTTATCACAAAATCACTCTTCATTAATTATCAATGAAAAATGTACATTTCTGAACATGGTACTGCCATTAGACTTGCAGTGCAGCGATGTCGTAGCATTGTGATGTCATCAAGTACATGATGTCATAGCATTGTCAGGGCATTGTACAAAATCTACTGTCAAAACGATATCTCCTAGGAGATATCGTTTGATCTCACACTAGCGATATCTCCTGTGGAACACAGTTTGGGATGATAAATCATTATTACATTGTACAAATGATTTGATATTGCTATACATTGATTTAACAAGATTCAGGAATTTACCCTCTATACCAATCGTTTGCATTTTTTCCACAATCCCACTCGCCAAACAGTATTGAAAGCTTTTGTAAAGTCTATAAAGGCACAACAGAGTTTTTCTTTCCTATCTTTCAAAATTTGCATCAGATTATAAATTATAAATACATTGTCAACAATGGAGAATGACTTTCTAAACCCGGCTTTGACAGGTGTTAAAACATTATTAGTATCTAAGAAATCTGAAAGGCGGTTGTTTAATATTTTAATGAACAATTTTCCGAAACAACTAAGTAAAGTGATTGGTCTATATGAGTTAGGATCGGATTTATCGCCTTTTGTCTTATAGATCGGTTTAATTATTCCCGTTAACCACGATTCTGGTAAAACACCCTTCTCAAATATGAGATGAAATAGTTCAACTAATAATTGAGCCATCAAGTCAACACTATCTGTACAATATTCATTTTCTATAATATCTATCCCCGATGCCTTACACCTCTTGAGTTGTTTAATTGCAGAAATGAATTCTTCTTTCACAATGACCCTATCTAAAACATCACATGTAACCTGTGTAGCATTGTCAGTATTATCGTTATCTCCTTGTTCACGTTGTGCTGATTCATTCAATGATTTGAAGAGCTCGTAAAGTACGTCGATATCTAAAACATAATTGTCATCCTCTTTAGTTTGATTACCATTTAAAAATTTCCATAACTCTTTCGGGTCATGTCCATAGACGGACAGGAGCTGTCAGCGCAGTTTAAATTTAGCGCGCTCGGCGAGGTACAGTCGTGGGACCGCGTATTTCAAATAGCCCGCGCTTGCCAGAGCGTGCGACCTACTTTCTCCAGCTTTCTATTCAAATAAATAAAGGTTTAACAAGGTGAAACCCCATGACCTCTTTGATTTAACCACCCTCAAAATAAAAATGTACAATACACCAGCTCTTACCCTATAATGTAATATACAGTCAGGCCTCGTTAATACGAACACTTTGGTTTCTTTAAAAAAACGTTCGGATAGTGAAACGTTCGTACTGCTGAAACCACAGTATATGCACCGAGTTACTTCCCCTTGATATCAAAGAAATCAAAACAAAACATGAAAGACATGTACAATCACTGGATTTATTACACATTGTTTCACTCACACATTTTACTTACAAAAGTAGTCTTTAATGGTGGGCTGCGTCAAAGGTTGTTTTAAAGAATTGAGCATGTCCATTGCTTTATCTGCATTTTCGATGTCACCCCATTCTCTTCCCACAGAGGTTACTTGTCATATCTTCCTACGAACCTCTGTTCTAATACGGCCATATTTCCCGGTGTTACATCGACTTAGATTCAACTTGACTAACACAAGCAAATGTGAGGCCACAAATATCCCCCATCTGCCGGGGACTTGTGTTGATGTTACACACAAGACGTTTAATGGCTAGCTTGTCCGTTGTCAACGAGGGCAATGGTGACGCCACTGATCCGCCATAACATGACTGAGTTCTGTCTAGAAGAAACGTTTGCGCATCGTGCAGGGGAAGAGGTTAAGTTTTCTCGAAGTATACGGAAATTACCGAGGCCTTGCGAATGATCACTTTTGAAACAACGTCGCTGATTGCACAACTAAATCTGATTGCCTCCAATCACGAGTCTTGAACGCTCACACCATGAAAGGGCCGTATTAGAACAGAGGTTACGTAGGAAGATATGACAGGAGTAACCTCTGTGGGAAGAGAATGATGTCACCCTGGCACTCGTAGCACGTAACGATGTTACCGAGGTACAGTCTCATGTCTGTTAAAGACGGAAGGGTGACCGTGTCTTCTGCTTCTTCTTCTTCACTTTCAATCTGATCATCTGCAGCTGTCACCATCTCTATGATGTTCTCTGAAGTCAGCGAATCACAAGTTTCTTCGTTGGCATCGGCATCGATGAAATCATCAGGCGACATGTTTTCATCATCAGACGGGAGGCGTTGAAGTAGCTTTTTCAAGTCGGCAAGCACGATATCATCTTCAAGATCATCAGTTTCACCAATCTGGGATTCTTGACTTGGCAGAATTTCGACATGCTTGAAACAGTTCTTAATCGTCTGACAAGAAACATCTGCCCATGCAGATTTCACGAATCGCAAGGCTTCTCTTAAGTTTATACACTGAGGTTTGTCGTCTTCTGCACATGCGATGAAATGTCTCACTAATGATCTCTTGTAATAAGCTTTAAATGTCCGAATAATACCAGCATCAAGTGGCTGAATCCGGGATGTAGTGTTGGGAGGAAGAAAGTGAACTTTGACATTTGTCAACTTCACATGTTTGCAATTGTGGCTGGCTGCATTGTCGACGAGAAGTATCACGCAACGGCCACGTGACCTACACTGTCTATCAAAAGTTCTCAACCAATCACTGAACATTTCAGAGGTCATCCACGCCTTCTTGTTAAAACGGTACCGAGCATAGATTTCTGGATTGAAATCTTTCCCAAAACAGCGTGGTCGTCGATATTTCCCTATCATGAAGGGTTTCACTTTGATAGTATACGGTAAATGTATCGCTTCACTGGTTAAGCAAACGCATGTCACGAATTGATTGAATAGATGTTGCGACTTGAATGAATCGGCGAGTCGACTGACTGACTGACTGAGTTTGGTTTTACGCCGCTTTTAGCAATATTCCAGCAATATCACGGCAGGGGGACACCAGAAATGGGCTTCACTCATTGTACCCATGTGTTGATTCGAACCCGGGTCTTCGGCGTGACGAGCCAACGCTTTAACCACTAGACTACCCCACCGCCCCTCGGCGAGTCGAGACCACTATTCAATTAAGGTACTTACCGAACTGTTTAAGTAAGACTGTGTAAGTAATTAACTTGGCCGGCATATTGTCGTCTGCCAAAACATTCACTGCCGGGTAGCGGTCTGTAAAATAATCGAGTCTGGCCCAGACAATCCAGTGATCAACAGCATGAGCATCGATCTATGCAATTGGGATACGATGACACGTGTGAACCAAGTCAGCGAGTCTGACCACCCGATCGCATCTTACGACAAGCATCGGTTGTTGAAGACCGATTCTAACCCGGATCTTCACGGGTCTGTGAGATGCTGAGATCAGCTGGGTAAGGAAGACATCGGTGTGTAATGATGCGGGTCTCCCGGACAACAACACCTTAACCATCTCCCAAATTTCTCAGAGGTGGAGAAAATAATGGTCCAAAGAAAAAGATTCTTGTTACGCGTTCCTGTGGGGCGGTGGGGTATCCAGTGATTAAAGGGTTCGCTCCTCACGCCCAAAACACGGATTCGATTCCCCACATGGGTACAATGTGTGAAGGCCATTTCTGGTGTCCCCGCCGTGGTAATGCTGGAATATTGCTTAAAGGGGAGTAAAACTAAACCCACTCACGCACTGCACGAATCAGTTGAAGTTAAGCAACGTCTCAGAGAATAGTGGTTAAGGCGTTCGCTCGTCACGTCGAAGACTCGGGTTCGATTCCCTACATGGGTACAATGTGTGAACCCATTTCTGGTGTCCACCGCTGTGATATTGCGGGAATATTTATAAAGGCGGCGTAAAACTAAACTCACTCACTCACGCTAGCGTCCTAGGCGTTTGGGGCTGCATACCCATAGGGAGCTGAGAACGAAATTAGAGTGCGATGCTTTGGTATACAGATCAACAGGCGGATACAAAGCGCAAGACAAAGGGGATCGACCCAGCATGTGATTGTTATGACATTACGCCCGATGGTAACAGCTAAGCGGGCCTCAGATCATGTCAACTGGTCTGGTTCTATATTAAGTGAAGAAACGGTAAAATGTCACTAGGATTTCATAGGAACTTACATATCGGTTGGGGGTAACTTCTTAATTTGTAACCACCCTGTGAAAATCTACTCTCAGCACTGGATACGGCGACAAATCTTCCCCGTTTCAGAAACGATTTCTGCTAAAAGCAGAGAATATGGAAGCATAGATTCTTTATCCCCAGCTCAGGATAGTAAGTGAATGGAACTGAATTCAACGTGTTATGTTAAACACATCGGATCACTGATATACCTGAGGATAACCCTGTTGATCGAATTTCCTTGCTCTGGCAGTCCGAGCAGAAATTCAGAACATTGAAGACATCAATTATTACCTCCTGGAAATACCTGATAAATGTTTAGAGTTGAAGTAGCCTTTGCTGTTATTTCTAGGCATGTATTTATCCTAACATTGCCTTGGAGTACTGTGACGTTGTCCATGTGTAAATATTCCTAATAAATGAATGTCTATACATATGTTTGTTTGTTTGTTTGTGCATCTGCTTGTTTTATTTGTGTCTATTTTGCCTCCTTTCATTTTAAAACAACAGAAGTATGATTATGATTCACATATAATCATGACTGTCACAAAACATTCACATACATGTCGATGGAAAAACAATCATCACTGACAGACTGACTGACTGAGTTTGGTTTTAAGCCGCTTTTAGCAATATTCCAGCAACCAACATCACGGTGGGGGACACCAGAAATGGGCTTCACACAATGTACCCATGTGGGGATTCGAACCCGGGTCTTCGGCGTGACCATCACTGAAAGAAAGACACCTTTCAAATTTATGATATGAAGAATAACATGTTTTCTGTACACGGTGACTGCATTGGTAATGCTTTGTTGTCAAAGACTACTGTAGTCATTATGATTCATAGAGGGATTACCATTCTTCAAATTGTTCTGATAACGTGTTATTTTTAGCAAGAATTAGAAGAAGAAAAAACTTTGCAAATATCAGGTGTACGCCCGGGCTTTTTCATCACGGTAGCTACGCCCCTGTGAGCAAAGGCCTATAATCGGGGTTCTGGGTAAACCGTTTACAAGCAGACCCTAGCTCGACAAAGGGACGAAACACCGTGTACTATGTTACATATTGTAAGTCATCACCAGTTATATGTTCTAGAGCTACCGAGGACTACGTTTTGAAATATCGAAAAAGGAACAGCAAATTTGTTGCGGGTGCAGTGAATTGAGTTTCAAAGATTCCGGGATGTCATATCTTCTGTTGTTAGTGTCTTGAAAACCCGTGAAGATCCTGGTTAGAATTGGTCTTCAGTAGCCCATTAATGTCTAATCTATTAATTGAAAATCAAAAGCATGTTAACATTGTTACGAGTTAATGGGTGAAACACAGGTAATGAAGATACTGGAATTCAGATAGTGAGTTTAGTTTTATGCGCACTCAGCAATATTCCAGCTAAATGCGACAGTCTGTAAATAATCGAGTCTGGACCAGACAATCCAGGGATCAACAGCATGAGCATCGATTTACGCAATTGGTATACGATGACATGTGTCAACCAAGTCAGCGAGCCTGACCACGTTAGTCGCCTCTAACGACAAGCATGGGTTACTGAAGACCAATTCTAACCCGGATCTTCAGTTACTGAGTCTGAAACAACACTGCTTGAGAAGAGGAACTCAAACGATGAAGCACTCTTCCTGTTCCACAATCTGCACCAATCTTACAAACCTTCCAAGCTCTGGACTCTGGGACGACAGATCTCTCATCTACAGCATGCACTCAAAGGTGTTGTGAATGTGATTGCTACACCAGTTAGATCAGGTAACTGCCAGCTCTGTTCGGCAGACTATAAGTGTCTGCCTCATCACCTGTTGCATGAATGCCAGCGTGTTTGTGACAAATGAGAGATTCTGTTAATCTCCATCTGGACAGGTTTGGCGTAGACGTGTATGTTATGTTAGACTCCATGGAACTGGATGAACAAACAAGAACTCTTCTTGGGGACACTCCCCCGATATTGAGGATTTTAAACTGCTTCACTTTATGATACTATTCTTCGTCTCCGGTGGAATCATTCGCCATTAACATTTTAACCAATTAACTCTTCCCTACCGCCCAGCTGCATATCTCCAAGTTTAGAGAAGCTTAAGACACTCACTCATTCAATTAGCGTGAACTCAGCATGGGCTCATTGATTTCATCGTGACGATCAAAACACTTTTACTACTATAACGACCAAATATGGACGTGATGGTATTTCATCTATATATTTAAAAACCAAACATACCCTCCAGAAGTTTATATCCTTTCTGTGTCATGTTTGACAAAGAGACGAAAAAAAGCATACGGATGTCTCATAATAATGCTAGTCAAATTTCAGACATGTAAAATATACAAATATCCAAAATACTGTTTGGCCCGTATTAAGGTGTATATTAAGGTATGTACTAGGTCATTAACCGGCGATTTTACTTAAAGTACACTTAAGCACAGACACTCATGCGCGCGTTACACACGTCAAGCAGCCCTACATTCACCAGAACCACCTCACCTCACACCTTTCTACAAACAAATGTTTACGTCAAGACAGACAGACAGGCAGACAGACAGACAGACAGACAGAATGTTTAGTACAGCCGTACCTCAATCAGTGTGTGAAATAAGCCCAAACCCCAGCCAGACGGACAGACCAGACACCAAAATATGACTCAGATGTAAATAACATTTAAAATTTTACTAGACCATCGGGCTGGCTAAGCTGTGAATCTAGACCGTCCGTCTGAAATCTAACCCGTCTCGGGCGGTCGGACGGGCCTTATTTCATACACTGCCTCAATATAAAATAGAGTTAACAGTACGAAAAAGAAAAAAAAAGTTGAGCCAAGTCACGTTGAGTTATGAGAGACTAAGTTCTGCAAAATGCACACAAGGATAAAATATTATTGTATTTTATCGTTTACGTTTATGGATTTGCCGCAGAATGCCGCTGAAGATTGCTTGACGAGTTTACATTCGAATGACGCTAGTCTTTCTACCCCCAAATCCTCCACTTTACTTCAGCGACCTACCCCACTGACAGGCCATAGGTCTAAAGGTATATGGGTTGAAAATTAGATCGACAGGCCAGTTCTTTTCTTGTTCGTCGGTCAGTGATGAAATGCTATTTTGACTGTGTCAATAACAGGGCACAGTTTAACCTGCTGTAAGCTGCCGCAATTGTGCGAATCACACTCCGTGTCTAGAAGTCGTGTCACTTCTGTCAATGCACTCTGATATATCCTTTCAGGTGGATTTCCATGACAGACGTAATTATACCTGTAGTTTTCGTACTACGGGACTTGTTCACACAGTTTCATGAAGTGCAAGTCAATGGCGTTTTAAGTCCTACCGCGGCACGCCCGGAGTGGCGTGTTTCACAACGTTCCTCGTCCCTCTGGTGACGGCAAACTGACGTAATATTCACACCACATGCGATTACCTCCCTTCCCATACTCCAGTTCGATGTTTTGCACTTTACTATGCTATGACTTCATACGTGAGTGGGTGTTGTTTTACGTCACAGAGGGAAAATTAATATTTTGATTCTTAAAAATATTTGTTTACCATCACCTTCTCTGCTCTGCAGGGGCGGTGGGTAGCCTAATGGTTAAAGCGTTCGCTCGTCACGCTGGAGACCTGGGGTCGATTCCCCACATGGGTACAATGTGTGAAGCCCATTTCTGGTGTCC